GCTGCCACTAGAACTGCATTTATTAACTGCAGAGGAGAAAAGACAGGCTGGGGACAGAGAATACAGAATAAGTTTGTGACTATTCACAGGTGATTATGTGGGTGAGAGTTGAAATCTTGTGTCTTTCATACTGTTCACCCACTCTTCACATTGGTACCTGCTGAGCTACTTTAATTGGGGCGATGCTCTTTCTCTTATCTAATTAAAAATTTAAGAAGAAATAAATAATGCAGTGTTTTTGAAGAAAGTAGGGACTTTTTTAATGTGGCTGCAATATCGTTCTAAATCTTTTGCCGCAGTGGTGGATGTGATTTGCTAATAGGCTACACTCTACAGGATTTCTGGTTATTAAGCTCGAGGCTGCTCAAACAACATCACAGAACTCTTCTCGAAGTTGCCAAATAATCTGGGGTGGTAGGAAATACGTTCACTTAAGTGCTGTGTTTCAAGCACAAATCCCATTAATTAAGAGGAGCAATTAATGGGGAAATCCACTGGCACAGACACAACCAGGCACATCAAAGTATGTTTACAGGTACTGCAGACAGCTCCTGGAGGCTACATAAACCGGTGTAATCATAAAGTTTTTGCTTTGAGCATGAGTGGACATTTCAAGCAAAAACACTGTTCAATCACTGTGAACTGTTTGACTATTGTTCAAAGGTCCCAACTCATGCACCTCAGGGTTAAATGACTTTTCATAATTAAAGTAGGCCTTTTACCTGTCATGGTTTTACCATCCATCCGCCCATTTTCTTCTACTGTCCAGGTCGGAATTTTGGGGGTATCAATCTAAGCCACAGGTGTCGAACTCCAGGCCTCGAAGGTTGCTGTCCTGCTTGTTTTCCAACTAACCTGCCCTTGTAGCTTCTTATTTGCAAAGCACACCTGATCCAGGTAATCAGCAGCAGGTAGGGCAGGGTTATCTCAAAAACAACCAGGATGCTGGTTTGACACCCCTGGAGCAGAGAAGTCTAGACCTGCCTCTCCCCAATCACCTTCTCCATCTATTCCAGGGGGAGAGATCATCCAAAGCCAGCCAGAGATGGACACACCTAACCTAGGAGGCATCCTGGTCAGATGTCTGAACTACCTGGCTCCTTTCAATCTGGAGGAGTCTGGGCTCTACTCTGAGTCGCTCCCAAAAACAGAGAGCTCCTCACACTACCTTTGAAGCTGAGTACAGGCATCCTTCAGTGGAAGCTCATGTCAGCCACTTGTATCTGCAATCTTGTTCTTTTCATTCTCCTCGTCCTCTTTCCCCTCACTGGTGACCAAGACCCAGAGATAGTTGAATGCATCCACTTGGGACAGCATCTTATTCGCGCTCCAGAGTGGGCAGAATATATTATTCTGCATAAATATTTGTTTGTTTTAACTACTTTAGAAGTGTTTGGATTTGAACACTTCTCCTGACTTTACATTAGCATCTCAATGAACCCCACCTTTTACTGATCCAGCTATTACTAATGATATGTAGTCAGTGTATGTTAATGATGAAAGCAACTACTGTGAACTGTGGATTCTACATTTTGAAGCTTCAATGTTAGCTACTTAGTCGCCACTGCCATGTTAGCTTTTTCATGCAAGTAGTTAACATATTTGGACAAGAAGGTGATGCACTAACTATTGCAAGCTAATGCTAGCTAGCTTGGTTAGGAAGCTCCATTCATAAACTGTTGAGAGACAACACACAGACATACATATTTGCTTATTAGTGCATTGTAACTAATAAAATGATAGAATTTCACTTATCAAAACTGAACACAAGACTTCTTGAATAGTCTGTATAATGCAGGATGTTAAAGTATTGGTCAGCTAATTAAATTAAAGGTTCCAACAGCACAAAAAAGTAGAGGCACCCAGTAAAGGGACTTAATGTAGCTCAGGTGAGGCCTCGCAGACGCCACTGGGTAAGCTGACTGGGTAAGCTGACTGGGTCATGACACTTGTCAATCAAAGTGGCTCTGCTCTTAACACCAGTAGCAGTAGAAACAAGTATAAGAAAACAGGGATCGATTTTGATTCTTTATCCACTCTGAGTCTAACAATGTTACATGAGCTTCAATGCTACATCAGTGAAGCACTCTTTTAAATGATCTGCTAGTTTTTCCTTTACCTTTACTATTGTGTTGTAATGGGGTTGGGATAGATGAAAGTGTTAGAATTAGGTTTACCGCAAACACCTTCACCATTACAGTAAGTGACTCCCATTTAAATACTTGGCACTAAAACACAAACATAAATATATAGTATCTCGTCTGTGTCATATGGGTGTGGTTTAATAGGAAACACACCAGATTTAGAGGCTTAAGAGCAAATTCCTCCAAACAGTGGATCACCAGTCCTACTGAACTGTTATGATCATTGTTAGTTTCTAGTTACTCACACTGTTGTGACTTAACTTCCTGAATGACAGAGCACAGATCTCAAATAATTTTCTCACGTACACTGGAACTCCAAAATTCACCAGACATTACCCAACAGAGATGAAAGTGAAAAAAATAGCACAAAGTCTATGTGACACCCAGTTGTGTCACTGTGAGAAGAGTGCAGGGAGCAGTCAGGTGATCGATAGTTTGCTGCTAGATGGCCATCTTGTGTCCTGTGTCTTGCAATTATTTATTGAGTGCGTCTAAAATGTACCCTCACCTCTTGTGTGTGACAAAAGACATGTACCAACTGCTTTCCCCAACAGAGCTCAGAGGTGAAAACGTGAAAACAACACTAGTTGCATCCAATATTAAGGTTATTTGTTAGTTTTTGTGGGGGGTTTTTTTTGGGGGGTTTTTTCTGAATACTTTCAATCAGTTCTAGCTAATTACCTAGTTAGCACTCATACCTTTGGATGTTAATAATGGAAGTATACACACCAGGCTTGATGCATCTGGGTATTGCCCTGACTCGTGAAGCTGTCTTAGAGTGTCCTAGGGGCTGTACTGTCATTTATAAAGTGAATAACAATTTCAGGATCTTGTAACCAAACAATGTGGAGACTCAACCTGGTCATCTTCCCTATCCATAACCACTGCTTTTGATGGTCTAACCCTAACCAGAGACTTTCTCAACTAGCCCCAGCATGGCAACTTATCCTAACCTTAACCTCAGGATCTCAATACCTGAGGCTGAACATGGAATTTGACCTACGCCCAACCATGTTTACTTAGTCTGAGTTGTACATTAAATATAGTTTTAGGTTTTTACCATCATTATGAATGACACACATTTGTGGGGGTCGTGGGTGACATGTGCATGACAGTTGAGATTTTGAAGACACTAACTGTGACCACTAACTGTGACCACTAACTGTGACCACTAACCATGTGACGTTAACTTCTCTGGCATTTTGGATGTGTGGCAATCATGGTGACAATGTAGGATTAACGAACAAGGCCCCATTCACACTAGCCTGGAGACCAATCTGCAATCATCTGGCAACCGCCAATGAGAGAAAAACATGTATTCTATAATCAGTTTTGAGTGGTTGCTGGGGTTGACAGTTGCAAAGAAAAAGATTATGAAAGCCCCAGTTACACAGGCCTACAGACCAGTCACTGACCCCCTAGTAACCACCTGTCACTAAGGAAAAACACATATTCACAAATAGAGTCCAGATACTCTCTGAGCTAGAGTGAACAGCAAACTGGAAATGGAGATGGTTCACCTTCAAAGTTAAAGAAAATGTTCTTTGTAGGCAGGTTTTACTAACTAGTAACAGATTTTCTAGAGCAGAACAACATATTTTCTATTGTGTGTGTGAAGATTTTCTTCTTCACATGATTTCTTAACAAGTGATTATTTGCTGGAAAACACAAAAAAATCGATCATTAGGTTTTTGGGGCAGCAACTTATTTTACCTAGTGAAAGCCAGCAGACTCTGGGAAATGTGTACTCATACAGATTTTTCCATTGGAACTAGTGGTTGCATCATGTCTTAAGTGTATGACTGACAACTCTTGAGCAATGTGTGATGAACTTAATATTAGTCAATGGGCCAGACTGGGTAGGTTTGTCCCATCTTCCTGACCCAGTCCACACAAAAACATATTATTGACTAACTGTAATCTCAGATGTTTTCTTGGCTTAAGTTTTGACAGTTTACTTTCCCTGTGACGGCATTTGTTATACCTAAAATAGCTACCAGACTATTATTTGATCCAACCCAACCATCACTAACCATCCAAATGTTGCTGATATTTCGTTTTCTTTCCTTTTATTAAGTCCAAAGTCATAGCCATATTTTTTTTTAATTCTTAAGAGAGACTACCATGTTTAGATGTCTACTAGCTAGTTAACATACTACTAACTTTTAAAGCAACTACACTTTGTGCATATTTCTTTATTTTATATTCTTTATTGTAAGACCTGGAAAACCAGCTACACTGATAATTTTAATACTCTAATGTGTCTCAGTCTTTGTTTTCTTTGTGTAAGTTAAGAGCCATTTGACCCAGAAATGGCTAATTACATCAAATGTAGTGGGTAGGTTTTATCTGTGACCCACGTTGTGGTTCATATCTGAGATCTAGCAAAATATAGATACATTTAAATATTTTAATGCCTCTCTTCATCCTTTTCGATGCTTGTATTCTTTTATACAAATAGTGCCAAAATTACCCCTTGGTATTGTTATCTAAGTAATGAAGAGCACCTTCATTATACTTCATTATATCCCAATGTAGCAGCTGAAAACCAAATGACAGTTCTTAGACAGGGTAAACACATTCCAGCAGGTAGCTTCCTGTTATTCTGTCCTCGATACAAGCATTAGATCGATTAGATAGTGTTTATCAACACGCAAACCTGCCACAACATCACAGGCTTGAATTTTTTAAAAAAGGGGGGCATCGCTGAAAGCCCAGCCACTGTGTTGCCAGAGCAACGCATTCCCTCTCTCCTGTCCTTTTTCAACAGCGCTGGGTCGGCCTCTCTTTAATTCAATTCGCCGTGTCACCGCGAGGCTACGCAGTCTGATAAGCAGTGGCTTTCCGTATCGCGAGAGTACAGCTCAGAGGATTACAGGGAGGCGGTGACCTAATCGCCGTCGCGAGGCGGGGCGAACCGCTGCAACTTTGGATGAACTTCTGATTTGAACAAACCGAGAGGCGGTCGGCGGAGTGCTCGGACAGCAAGCGATACAAAGGTGAAAAGCAGCGGAGGTTTTCTGCTACGAAGCTTTGACAGCCGGTTCACTTTACAGCAGTTCTGTGTCTCGGTCTGTGTGCGCGCCGCCGAATGACCAGCGAGAGCGTTATTTTTCATGTCGAAAAGGTGGAAATTGATAAAGGTGAGTGCGTTCTCTTCTACGTTGGTGTGCGTATAGAAACTGGGGGATATTAGATCCATTACTATTCGGTTAGCCGGATTGTAGCTGCTATTAGTGTGCTAAAAACCAGTGTGGATTAAGTATTTGGATAAATGCAGTATATTCTAGGTAGAGAAAACAAGGCTGAAAAGTTTAACTGGCGCTCAGGTAACGTTTACGTGGTACTGGTGTGGATTTTATTTCCCCTCCCAGCATGTATCTGATTTTATTACCTGTATCATAACGAGCAGGCTTTCAGCCCCCATTCAGTTAACGGCGTCTTCTTTGACACATGCACGCAGACATCACAGTTAAAAATTCAGACAGCGATTCACCGTTGCTCTTAAAGACACAGGAAATCTTGCGAAAATGACGATCAGATAAAGGTAATGGTTGTTTGGTTAAGTCTCTGCGTGACTGCTGCATAATTGGGGATGGCTAGCCGCAGCCGCTCTAGTGGGTTTCCTGTGTATCCCAACCTATGCTGTCTGTCTTATCATCTTACATGTGGACGCTGCAGCTGGCGTAAAGACTTGTGGGGCCACTTTCATCAGAGAAATGTCTTCTATCTGGGGAAACAGCTCTTGGTGCAAATGCATGATTTGCAGTGCATTAATGTCAGCGGGCATTGGTGCTGCCGATTTGAATGGTTTGCCTGGACATCTGCAGCATTTCACAGCTCTGTAATGTGTTGATTGGCATAGAGATCAGTCAGGGATGTGATGAGAGATGCAAAGTTTATTACTTATCCCCGGACTCACGTGTTGTTTCATGGTATTACTTGCATGTGATGTGTTATTTTCAGAGCGCAGTGCAAGCTTAGGAACTTGCTGGAAATCAAAAATGAAGTTATTTCCACCTAAGGCTCTGTCAACACCAGTCTCATTAATCAAAATGGCCGTCAGTGTAGTTTAGTCACATTTGAATAGTGATGTAGGAGTGCTACATTTAAGATGCCTCAGAAGCTTGGCTCATCAAACGATTTAACCATGAAGTAAGCCTTTTTCTTTTTTTTGTATAGGCCAGTTAAGTTTATTAAAGTTTGCTTGTCTTAAAGAGGTTAGTGCTTGCTTGTGTCTGAGATCTCTCTCTGTCACCATTTGGGGGGGGGGGGG